TCTCTAACCTAGACAAAATTTTAAATTGCTTTGACTACCGAAAAGTAATTAAACAATCCTCGTTAGATGTTCATGGTCATATTTGGTTAATTATGAACCTCAAAATAATTGTAGGAGAAGCCAACAATTAAAAAGTGGTTGTCTTAGTATGTATTTTTTTCTAAAGGTAAGTGATTGCATTAGATGTAATTTGTTGTAAAAACAATGTTAGTAAACTATATTTTTAATGTATAATTTGAATTATAATATATGATTTACTTTCTTAATTAAAAGAATTAGAATGAAAAACATGTTTGGCATAGACGTGGAAGGTTGTGGTTACCTTATGGAATGTAATGTTTGATTCTCATCCCTTAATTTAATCAATGTAAGAATTATACCAATGTGAATTTGGTCTAAAAGAAATGTTTGAATTTACGTATCATCTTTTTTTTTTTTTTAACAAGTATAAATTCAGAGATAAGAATTTAAATCTAACACCTAAAATTAAAAATACACATTCCTTAAAAATTATAATCAATTGATTTTTTAAGCGAGTTGTAATTTACATATCATCTTTGAAAAGAAATTAAGAAGGTCAAACTACGAGATTAATTACAATGTAGGTAGCCACAATCTGTTGCTTGAAAAAGAAGCAACAATCAAGATAGCAAGGCCCCCCCGGGGGGCTGCTTCAAGATCAATTTGCAGTGATGCGCACTAGGTCGAACAGCAGCCTTTGTACGTGTTTATCAGGAATCATCATGATGGCATTGTTATTGAATCAGCCTCAATTTGAAAGTCAAATGATCTAATTTGTGGCTGCTTTAGAGGTGTTGGTAATTTGGGATGGAATTATTTCTGTGAAAAGATTGAAGCCAAACAAGATCACTGTGAAAAGTGATGTAAAAGAAGTCATCCGCTGCACTTGAAGCTCTGCACTATGATGATGATGATGATTATTATTATTATTATTATTATTTTGGTATATATTGTTATTGTTATTACTTTTTGATTTATTTTATGATATGAGGTATTATTGAGGGATAATTTTATAATTTTTTTAATTTTTTTATATAATTTAATATTCAAATATTAAAATTTTCAGGCTTGTTTGACATGTAATTTCCCTTAAAAGGAAATATAGAGAAATTACACAAAAAATAACTTGGTTCAAATTAGGAAATTATATCTTTTTAACACATAAATCTAGTCGGAATATAGTTGGTTAGAAAAGAAAGATAATCAATTATATTGCAACCTTCCTAAGAAAGTTTTTTCCAAAACATTTTGCTTTAAAAATAACTATTTTTTTTGGTGCATAAAAATAACATAATTGATTATAAAGAGGAATAAGCGAGTACATAGCATCTAATCACTTCTTTCTCTTTCTGTAATTAATTATATTGCAAATGTGACCGACCACCTTCCTTTTATAATTAAAGATATTGTGCCTAGCTTTGCATGTTATGAAATTTAATTTCTTAAGTCAAACCAAGCCATTTTTCGTGTGGTTTCCTCTTATTTATGTTTTTTTTTTTTTTTTAGAAACACTACACACCAAACATGCCTATCAATTGAAGTATCAGATTTTTAATAAATTAAGCCACCCCATATATTGTTGCACAAACCTGAACAGTTTCGTTAACTGTGTCCACACGTCCTACAAAAGTGACTCAGAATGAGACCTCAAGGTAGATACTGAAATATTTAAGTTAATAAATATTTAAGTTAATAGTATTTTGGTGACAAAATCCAAAAGTGAGAAGCTCTCAAAGCATTAGTTATAGAAAAAGTATCAATTACCTTCGTAAGGCAGTAATTGGGAGATATTTATAGCTGAAGAACCTTGGATGTGGTCCATGTTGCTGAATCTGACTAGTCCAAGTGTCGCCATTTGTTAACTGAGTTTTGGCCAAGACCTAAAGAATTGGGTTCTGTTGGTCCAATTTAGGGTGTTGGTCATTGTTCCAAGAGCTTGAGAGCCCTAACCATGACTGATTTATGGTGAGGGATGAAGCTTGACTAAAATACAAGGGGCAGCCAATTGCTTAAAAAAAAAAAAAAATTTAGAGGGGCAAATTAATAGGAACTCGTTACGGCCTTGAAAACTTTTCGTCCTCGGCCCTAATGAAGTTTTGTCCTTGATTATGGTCCCATCATAGAGGCCATTAGATAGGTGAAGCTTTGTCTCTTGAGAATTGATCTTTCTTATTCATTCAAAGGCAGTTCATCGTGGACTTTCTTTATCAACGCTAGTATTAGCAGCTATATTCCTCAAAGGATCTAGAAATGCACCCCTAAACTAAATTTGTTAGGCAATTCTAAATACATCATTGAGCAAAATGCATGTGCAAATCCACCTTTCAACTTCACAACTTGTGAAAATTAGTCCATTCTTAACATGTGACATTGTCTTTTCATTTGTTGACATCACCCTACCATCTAATTTGATTGATGTGATAATTATTTTATACTTTGGGTTAATGTTAATAAAAGAAGAGATGATGTCACATGTTATATATAGATTAATCTTCATGAGTAATAAAGTAGGGGGTTGGAATTTGTGCATTCTTTTTGTTCAAAGATAAATTTCAATTTGCCTAATAACTTCAGGGGTAGATTTTCGTTTCTTTTCATTTTTAAATTTCTTAGTGATATCATACATAATATGTATACAGAACATATTTGGAATAAAGCAAATAGAAGGGAGGGGAGAAGACTTCTTCATTTGAACAGCCAAAATGAAAAATGGGAGGAGGGATCCTACTCTTATGCCCATTCTGTCAATATTATTCTTTAAACCCAAATGAAAAAAAAAAAAACTAAAAAAAAACCCTAAATAAAAAAATTGTAATTCAAATCAAAATCAATAAATTTCTTTCCTTTCTTTTATTTTCTTTATTTTTAAATATCCAAATGAAAGGAGAGAATGAGAGGGGAACATCCCTCCATTCCCTTTCTATTCCCTCTATTTTTTTTCAAACTAAATTTTTGTTTTTGAAAAAAGAAAAAAAGAAAAAAAAAACAACTAGAAATCATTTTCAAGAATGGGTTTGAGCCCAAATTGCAAAATGACTAACCATAAAGGTTTGACTGTTCCAGCCCAGCCCAGCCCAGCTCATTTTCCCCTTACTGACCCGCGACTCGGTGTCCTTCTACCTTTTTCATTTCAGACCAACATTTGGGCACTATTTTTTCTTCTCATTTTCTTGGTTCCCAAACAGCAATGGCGGGAACGCCAACCTTCAATGTAATATCAGCTTCTTCCATCTTCAGTCGATCTTCGTCGTCGCTTAAACTCCCATCACGCCCCATCTTCCTCCCACTGCGTTTTCTTCCTAAAACGCCTTCTCGCCTCAGAATTTGCAGTAATTCTTCCGCTTATCTCCTTCTGGCGTATTAATCGAGCTTTTTCTTACATCTCTGTATAATTTTCTTGCAGGAATTTACGCCTTGTCCAGTAACGATATTAAGGTGGGTACCAACATTGAAGTGGATGGAGCTCCTTGGCGAGTTTTAGGTGCATTTCTTTTTATCCTTTTTATTTCATATCATTTTACTGTATTGGGTCTATGATATCCCGTCCAGAATCTCAAGTTCAAGAAGAAAAGTGTGATTGTGATTGATATATAACTTTTGGGATTTGACCCTGTTTCTATTGGTATTAGAGCAGCTACCTAACTGTCATGACTAAACTCAACTAATTCTCCCTGGGAAAAGTCAATACAAGTGATCTCTGCTAGTTTGGATTGAAAATTTTAGGACTTGGTTGAAACTTAAACTTTGGTTAATTAAATTTTTATGGATAATATGGGTTTATAAATTGTGTATTCTGTCCTATATAATTGTTATGCTTACACTTTGGATTTGCATAATATTGTGGTTGGCCAATTTTAGAGTTTCTTCATGTGAAACCTGGGAAGGGGGCAGCGTTTGTGAGGACCAAACTTCGGAATTACATTACAGGGAACACGGTTGAGAAGACTTTTCGAGCTGGAAGTACGGTAATTTCTATTTACACTATAACGTTCTTCTTGTTGCTCAGATACCATATTGAAAGTTCTGATTAAACTTTTGCTAGTGGCAATATTGTGTCATTTTTTTGGAGGTAAGTTAAGTTACTCTGAGGCATCATTATATAATAGCTTGTTGCAGAAGAATTGGAAGTGACCAAGAGACTCTAAAATTCATAAGACACTAGAGAAACATTTTGTAGCTAAGGGCACATATGATATTTGGAAGTGATGTGTCCTTGAGAAAAATGGTGAATAATGCCTTTTTGTGGTGTTGATTCCTTTCAAAATCTTGTGTAAACCCTGATAAGGAACCAAGAACGATACTAATACTCTGTGTGCTTGTTTCTTCAGATTGATGAGGCACATGTGTTTAAGGAATCCAAGCAGTTTACATATAAAGATGGTTCACAGTTTGTCTTCATGGATCTGGTATTTTTCCTCTTTTATATACATGAACATGCTCAAAACAATTCTAAGAGATATACAATCTGTTCTTGTTTGGTTCATAATTGTCTTACAATGTTTTGACTTCTGACAGACTTCTTTTGAAGAAACTCGTGTTAACGAACCAGATGTTGGGGATAAGAAAAAGTGGCTGAAAGAGGGAATAGACTGCAATTTGCTATCTTGGAAAGGAAAGGTATTTTCTAGTTTCCATTTTTTTCCCTACCTTCTTCTCATAGCTGATTTTTCAAGTATTAACATTATTGCACATGTTTTTCTCTACGAACTGTATTCAGCAGGGTTTTCTATAACACTTGTGAAGGCAGAGTCCCTTGCATAATTACTAGCAGAGATCATCATTAGAAGGCTAGAACTAATGGCACTATAATTACCTCTGTTCATAATACAGCGGTGTTCTTGTAATTATCAACATTTAGCTAGATACACTTATGGTGTCAGTTACGTATGCATGTATATATAAACTTTATAGCTTCCAGTATTAAAAAGGAAAATATTGATTTTTAATCTTTTATTACTATAATAATGGTTATTTGTTGTAGCAATTTCTGTTTTAGCTGTTAGGTGTCTGATTAATTGTTGTTTGTATAGATCATTGATCTCGAACTTCCCATCACAGTTCAGCTTACCGTGGTTGATGTTGATCCGGGAGTAAAAGGTGACACTGCTTCAGGTATGCACTTCAACTTCTCTAGGTACTACCTGAATATGTTTAATGCGGTAAATATACACATTGATCCAGGACTTGTAGAGACAAACAGGCTTGCAGCGTGATACAGGAGAATCCTGATTTTGTTTGTTGGATTTTCCAGTTGATTATAGTGTAAAAATAGGGTTGGAGTAGAGTTAGCATCTGATTTATCAGTTCCAACACCATATTTTGAAAGAATGGTTCATAATTTGTTTGCATGATTGGCTTTGATATCATCGATGGTTGACAAATTAGGTTGTTTGGTACTTCATTGATGAAATAATTTTGAGAGATCACTCTGCTGCATTTATTACTTTAAGAAAGAAGATTAAAAAGTTTATCTTTTATTGCGTTCACCAATCGTGTCAAATGTCATGCTGCTATTTTGTAACAAGGCTTAGCTTTGCTAAAAAAAATTAATTTCCCAAAACTCAAGTTTTGCTCAACTATCCTTTCATCTTACAATTCTGAGACAAAAAATTTTGTTGTAGGTGGTGGATCCAAACCAGCAACTGTCGACACTGGCGCAATTGTTAGTGTTCCACTCTTTGTTAATATAGGAGACGAGATTTTGGTCGATACAAGAACTGGGCAATACTTGAGCCGTGCATAAGTTTTTTGCTTGGAGATTTATTATCATCAAAAAAATTCTTTAAATTTTATTATTTTTTGTTTTGTTAATTATTTTGAAATAGTCAATGTTGTGCTGCATTCATTTACAGTGTTCACCTTTTTGTTAGATTCTAGAAAATGAAGCTAATATAGCTACTCTATGCAGTCAGAATTGCTTTCAAATTCAATAGTAGTGGTGATTCTCTATTATGGAATGTTTATAATTTGTTACATCAGATGAACTTGAGCAAAGATTTATACCTTTCAAAGGATTTTATCTCATCGGCATTCCTTAGGTAACTTATGAGGAAATATGCCTTGCTTTAAGGCAGCACCATAGACATTACAAGCACAGGACCACCTCTTCTGTCTATTTAACTCCTGAACCAACATGTCATAAGATGTTCTACTTGGGAATTTACCATTTTCAGACATGAGCGCCAAGACAACCAACGCCTCCACAACTTTTCCCTGGACACAAAAGGCTTGAATCACATTGTTGAAGGTTATGGTCCTAGGAATGCACCCTGTTCCAATCATCGTCTTCAAATGCTCCAAAGCCTCTTCTGTTTCCTTCCCCATACAAAGAGTTCGGATTACAAACCCGTAAGTACTAGAATCTACACAAACTCTCCTCCGCATTTCCTCGAACACATGGTAGGCATCCTGAATAAGGTCCTTTTCCTCCCAAGATTTCATGCATAAACCTCTAAGCAAACTGTTCATCATCCTTTCATCCACCTCAAAACCAATCCCCACCATTTCCTCATAAACCCGAAATGCTGCCTTAATCTTCCCCCATTTCAACAACCCATTCAACAACGTGCTGTAGCTGATACGATCAGGAATGCAGTTTCTCTCCTTCATAAGCTTCAGCACATGAAACCCCATTTCTGGTCTACCTTCCTTAGTATACCCAGAAAACAAAGCATTAAAGGTCACCGGACTCGGCTCCAACCCCATCTTCAGAGCTTCCTCCAACAATTCCATCGCCTCATCCGATCTACCTACTTTACAAAAACCATCCATAACGGCAGTATATGAATAAATATCAGGTTTCATCAACCCCGAACCCTTCTTGATACCCATCAACATTTCATATGCTTTCTCCACTTTCCCCACATAACACAAACCCTTCAACAGGCAATTGTACGTTTGAACCGTGGGTTCGATTCCAACACCCATCAACTCAAAAACGTCGAAAGCAGCCTTCAATTTGCCTGTTTTGCAGAACGAATTTATCAGATCAGTGCAGGTTGCAACATTTGGTGGGTACCCATTTTGCAACATGTCGTCCAAAACCCTTCTAGCTTCATCCACATCGTTTTTCTTACAGTAACACCTGATCATGATCGAAGATGTCCGAGAATCAGGTTGTACCCCATAGGATGATGCTTTGGTGTAAAGCTTCAAGGCTAGGTCTAGTTGGTTTGCTTCGACCAAACCCGTGAGGAGATGATTGAGATCTAATAAGGTCCAATTTCTAGCATCCTTTTGGAGGATACTGATAATTTTGCGTTTCTTCTTGAAGGGTAATGATTTTGCAATTCTGCCTACATCATAATCCAAGGCGGTACCTTTTTGAACATCAATGGTTAGGGAGACATGTTTCTTGCATGATTCAGAGCTTCCTGTCGGGGTTAAGGTAGACGACGAAGATGTTGCTACAAAAACTATTTTGGGATTGTTCCTTCTGTTGTTCTTGATTAATATCGAAGGATTACTGGAAACAGGAGATTGAATTTTAGGGGGCGAAGGGAATGGAGAAGACATGACAAACAATCACAGAGAGGAGGAGATGATAAGGGGCTACCTGCCTCCAATCTATATTGGCATTTTTTGTCCAAATGGTGCGTCAGAACGCAGGGAAAATTTCCTGGAACAAAATAATCCCCGAACTTGTTGTGTTTACTCAATCCAGGCATCTAACTTTTTTCTGGTCCAATTAAGACCTTGTGCATTAGTACCATCTATTGATTATACTCACTATATATCAAAAAATTCTACCCTATCCCGGCAAGGTTTTTAAACCGGACCGGACCGACCGGTTGAACCGGTCAAACCGGTACCTGATAATGAAAACGGCTCGATTCACATAAAAAACCGTTTAAGGTCAAAATCGGTCAAAAACCATTCAAAACCGGTCAAAACCGTTCAAAACCGGTCAAAACCGATCAAAACCGAAAAAACCACCGATTCAATTTCTCATGCAATTTTCTTTTTATTTTTTTCAATTTCACCCTCACCATTCCTTTCTTATACCGATTTTAACTTTTAATTTTAATGAAATTACAAAATTACCTATCCCTCTCATCAAATTTCCCTTGTTATTTGAACCGATCGGTTCATCAATTCAACCAGTTAAACCGATCAAACCAAAAATCAAACCCAAAAACGGTTCAATGACCGGTCCGGTTTTAAAAACCTTGTATCCCGGGAATACCGCTGATGTCGTATCTCCAGCCAATCACAACGTGCCATATCATCATTTTTATTGTTGAGTGAGCTGGCATGACTAATGAGGTGAAGAATTTTTGATGATGTAACACACTGTGATTGGTGAGGATACCAACTTAGTAATATCCTGAAATATAGTAGACTTTCTCCTATATACCACGATAACTATCATGTCATATATTTACCAAGTGCACGAATTAAGAATTTAATTAGTATTATTGTAATTAGTTAATATTTTTTCTGATTCTACCTTTAGTTATTGCTAAGAGAAATAAGGTAAATTATTAAAAGTTCACCTTAACTGCATGGTTAAAATGGAAAGGAAAAGAAAATTAAAGTACCTTAAAAACGCAAAAAAGAGTTAATTTGAGATGGAGTTTTGATAAAAAGAATAATTATTGTGGGATAAAAGGAACAGTACTCGATTAATTTAAAATTAAAGTTAATAAAAAAATCAGTAATTTTCATTCCCTATTAAAACCTTGTTAAAAAGCATGTTGGATAATGCTTATTAGCAAATTTAATTATAGACAATTTGTTCTCTTTCAAATTTAAAGACTTATTGATTTTTATTTTTATTGTAATTTAGTATCCAATTCAATTGAATTATCATTGCGTCATAACTCATAACTACAATTTTTTTTTTTGGGGACATGGATTCATTGCCACTGGGATATCATTGATTTTTCTCCCCCTTAGACTTAAAGACTTAAAGTAAGGCTTCTTTTCCTTTTTTTTTTTTCCACGATGTCGTTTCATATTTTCCAAATTGTAAAATAATTAACTATTGAACTCTTGTTATGAAGGCAAGCATCAAATAATTTATTTATTTATTTATTATTATTATTATTAATTTTTATATTAATTATACAACAAAAAGTATTTTTTTTATTTTTTATTTTACTTAATTTATATGTTATGTAACTTAAATTTCAAATTTTTTATTTTTAATAAAAAATAATATTATTAAATTATTTAAATAATTAACGTTAACATTAATAATTAAATAAAATGAATTCCCTATTTTCAAAAAAAAAAAGTACAATGAATTCCGAGCTTGCGCTTCACTTTTTTTTCCTTTTTTGAACTTAGTACCTTACAAAATGCGGAGAAATGTC